TCTCCATCCTGAAATTGGCCTAGTGACTTGGAATTTTAGGAAGATAAGAAGGAAATACTTAATTTCTAGAACCTCTAGGAGTTATACTCTCAGCTTTCAGTAGATTTAAATTTATTGATTTAAGATTCAAGGAAACAAAGAAGACTTAGAAATAAATCCACCCCAGCTTTCCTCTCAAAGTATCTGTTCTTAGACACTCCAAATAGACGACAGTACAAAAATGTGCTTCTGACATTTAGAAAACAGAAATGTTTCTCAGCTCCTTTTTAGGAGAAACTCATTCATTCTGTTAAAATAATCTAAATATTAGTTTGTTCCATCCTGTATTTCAAACTAGCCAATATAACTCATAACAGTGAGCCAGACTGCTGATCTATGGAATTATTCAACTACTCACTTCAAACGCAAAGGCACTTGATACTCTACCATTTATTCTTTTTACTAATCTTATTCTGCCATGAATATTCAGGAAAAAGAAAGTATTCTTCCAGACTCCCCAAACAATCTAAACAGAGGCTTATATGTCATACAGCATGTAGGCAGGCACCATATTGCCTGATGAGATAGCAACAGAAACCTTAAGTGCCTTCATCGGCATTCTCTGTGTATTCTTGCCTGCTCATCTTATGGACAAAGAGGTAATTCAATCATGCTGCTGTAAACGGATGGTGCCAACCTCAAACACACCAAAGGAAAAAAAAAAAGAAAATAATCCACAGAGCATACCTACTTTAAATTTGAGGTACTTGCATTCTTTTTTTTGGGGGGGGGGGAATATATTTTATTGGTTTTTTAATTTTAACAAAAAGTATTTAAGACACACCGTGGTGTTTGGGTAAACAAATGCAAGGTACTTGCATTCTTGTAACATTATGCATTTGAAAAAGATTTAAAGAATCATTCTACTGAATAATATCACCAATGATAAAGTGCACATTTATGAATGTCATTTTAAATGAAGGTTCCTTTTTTAAAGGACCTTAACTGAACAGTGAATTTTACCACAGCTTGTCTTCTAGCTTCCTTGTTAAGCAAATTTAAAACATTATATTTTAATGTATTATATAACCTGCAACTGTAGGTTGGTTATAGATCTCTTTTGAAAGAAATCAGAAGTTTGGAAGACTAAAGGAGGGGAGAAGGAAGTAGGAAGGCTGGAGGAAGAGGAAAGGGGAGGAGAGTGGTGAAGAAGAGGAGAGGAAGAAGAGGGAAGTAGGGAAGAGAAGAAAGGGAGAAAGAAGGTAAAGAAGAAGGAGTGTGGATACGGTGAAAGGGGAAATGGGCGAGCAACACCAAAGTTATGTGTATGTATTTATTTCATTTTGTTAAAAGTATCTGTATGTGAGTGTGGAGGTAATGTATGTTAATATCTGATAAGTATTATGGTATATGTATGGGGGAGAGTTTGGAAAAATAAAAAATTATTTAAAAAAAAAGAAGAAGAAGTTTGGAAGACAAAATGTAAGCAGCATTTTTTTTTCCAGTGTCAAAATTAAAATGGCTGGATTTTAAACAGAAAGCATGATGGGTTTATCAAATTCAGTAAAGTGTAGCAGTAAAGTTAGGATCAGGCTATACGAAGAACTCACTAGAAGTAAATCAAAACTTCATCCATTACTGCACAGCAATCCTAGAAGAGTACATATTTACAAGGTTCTGTTGCAAACATAGAAACCTAGACTGAATTATTGAGTTAAAATACTGCTAAAAGCTAACACTGAAAATTTTCTACTCTGAATCTCTTTCATCTACATACATCATCTCTGTACTGTCTGGATCAGACCTGGGCATTTTACGGTCCCTGGGCCACATCCATCCCTTTGGATATCCCTGTCCAGCCTGCACGAGGTCAATCAGAAATTATAAAATAAAATACAAATAAGTGTGCCACAGGGAGTGGGAGAAGAAGCCAAAGGTGCTCATGTAATTGGCTGACAAGTTGAGTTTTGTGCCTGTAACACAAGAGTGGTGGCTGGGCTGAAGTTCCATGATCCCTCCTCCTTTGAGAGGTGAGCACCAGCAGCAGTATTAAATTCAGCCTATTGATTCGGTCCTCCACCACAGTCCCAGTTTGTCATGTGGCCTCTTGGAAAAATAATTGCCTGCTCTAAACTTCATGAGTGAAGAGCTGGAAAAGAAGTCTACAAGAATCTGTGCCTCTCCTCTTTTAGTTGGCAACTCTTATTGTGATCTTCTAAAGTGCATCCAGCATTACATATTCCGCCTGTTGATACCAAAAGCCATGTTGAGATAGGCAGGCCAAAACTTAGGAATGAAGGAAAGCAGGAGGGTTTTCTTCCATGTCTGATACCAATATCCTCTTTTCCAACCAATATGAGTCAAATATAGAAACGTAGAAACCTAGACTGAATTATTGTATCAATGTATATCACCAAAATAACATGATTCCACAAAGAATATTAATACAGGCAAGCAAATGTTAAATACTAGGAAGAAACACAAAAATAATTTCAATGTAAGATGAAGCTCAAGTTATAGGTGTTTGTACATATGTTCTAGTGAAAGTCACACATTGTGCTAATTTGTTGATCAGTCAGGTATTCAGTCCTCAAAGCATAACTTCATTATGAAACAAAAATTGTTCAGAAATACTGTTTTGACTTATGTATATATGTGTGCGTATGTGTGTATACACACACACATACACACACAAACAATGCAACTTCTGTTCCTAGTTATTCCGTGAAAATGACTGCTCTTAAGGCAAGTAGCTATGCATACTTATATTTGCATGCAGGCATGTATTTATATGACTCATGAAAGAAAATAGGATAGGCCCCCAAACATAGATGTGTACGTAAATAAAACAGTGGAGCCCAATGTTATCCAATTTATGAAATAACTTGCTCATCATTAAGAATATGAGCCGAGGTGGCGCAGCAGTTAGAGTGCAGTACTGCAGGCCACTTTAGCTGACTGTGTTCAGCAGGTCAGCGGTTCAAATCTCACCGGCTCAAGGTTGACTCAGCCTTCCATCCTTCCGGGGTAGGTAAAATGAGGACCCAGATTGTTGGGGGCAATGTAAATATATATATACATTGCTTACTGGTGTACACCGCTTAGAGAGTGCTTGCATTTAAAGCGGTATATAAGTCTCATAAATAAATAAATAAAAGAATTTAAATAGAAGAATCAACTCCAATATGAGATTTTTATTCTTAAATTCAACATACAATACACCCAAAGGAACTAAATGATTTTTCCTCCCATTTTGCTCTAGGCTGGAAGATGTCAAACTAGAAAAACTCATCTTCCACAAAAACATACTTTCTCGTGGTGCAGAAAATATATTTCCTTTATCAGACAAATATAAAATATAAATACAAATCTACATCCTAGAACTAGTATAATGTGTACTCCTCCTGTTAATATCTCAATTTTAAAATAGTGTTACTAAACACAAAGAATACTTAGGAAAGCAACTTTTTCTTCATGAAAGAAGAACATAAGATGTGCTTTCTGTCTCCCTTAGCAAAATTATTACTAGCTATGAAAAGTTCGGTGAAAAAGAGGTTTCTTAAAACTAATAATAAAAACCTCCATAAAAACCTTTCAGTTAGCAAGGGAAGGCAGACCCACTTAATTTGCTTTCAAAGATTATTCCATATCATTTCGTAGAAAATAGCATCCTTTTCATTGTTAACATATAATATTGTCTTCTTCACTAAACTGTAAGAACTATTACCAAGAATTTGTAATCCATTTCCACCCATTTGTCCCTTCAGTAGCCTCCTTTCTCTATCCGCCCCTTCCCCAAATCAATCCAAATGCATTTCAGGAAGCACCTTTACAGCAGAGTTTGAAGATGGGGGGATAAATTAAGAAAACAGAATTCATGGCCAGGGCAGAAACAAATCCAGCAGTTATATTATGCTGCAAGACACAGTCCTAAAATATAATATCCCTTGCTTTCAAGGGCTTGAAAATGAAACTTGAATATAGGACTTGAGGATGTTCTGAAAAAGGCACCGTTTTTAAAGTCTGTCCTGCTCCTCCCTTTCAACTATTTTCATGATATTTATGATAACAGTCCTAAAATATGACTGCAATCTAATAGTTCTGATATTATACTATAGGATACGATACTAGAGTCCTGATAGTAAATACTATTGTGGTCTACCAGTTCTCAAATACTGCTGCAACACTTTCTCACCAGGCATAAAAAGCCACAATGATAGAAAAATTAGAAGGTAAATTCACATAAAATATTCCCAAAATAAACAACTCTATCAATGGCTTACGTTCCATATTGCTCTACTGCTGGATGAAAATTCTTGGATCCAGTAGGAGTTTCCATCAGTAAAATTGGGCAGGAAGCAATTTTTGCGAATTGACTCTCTTTTCAGCTTCCTGTGCCATAGGAGATGGCATGGCATTAGTAGATCAAAGAGCTTTCTGTCAGCAAATATCAACTTTAAATACAACTTCTATTTCATGTTTATGGAACATTGAGAAAGGGCTCAATATGTTTTTTGAAAAAGTTCTGGATGATCATTGTTTGCAGGGACGGTATTTGTAGTTTATATGCACGTATTTATCATCGTCTTACACTGTCCATCAAGTTACTGATGAATGTGCAGACATGTTCATAAACCATAGTTTATGTGAAGATACACAAACATTTTATGAACCAAACCTCAAACACAAAAGAGGTAAAAAAAATTATTGATAATTGGCGATTATTTCCATGAGTTTCAGAATGTCAAGAGTTTCTTTAATATAATACTAGAAACATTAACCCTTAGCATGCAGCTGTCCTCCATGAGAATGTAAAAAAAGATGAATTACTTTGGAGTTGTAGATGAGAGCCATGAGCACACAATAATCCTAATCCTAATGGAGTATTATGTATTTGTGTGCATAAAATTAGAATGGCTGTAAAATAAAAATAATGCATTCATGCAAATAGGTACCTTCCACCTACAAACAAAAGTGTAATGTTTTAGGCACTGATAAGGAGAAACTCCATTCATGCTTACCTCTCCCTTTTAGGAGTGTGGACTGACAACTGTCCATTGGTTGAGGCATGTGGGTTTATTATTAAGGAGGGCTTTGAAGAGGCTGAAGAGGAGATACATGTGGTTGACAGGTCCAGGCTGCTATGATTGTTGCTGGTTGCTTCCTCTGCTGTGTGAGATCCTGTCACTTCTTTCCAGAGTTGCTGGAGTTCAGTTGGAATCATGCCTAAAACAAAATTCACTGGTTAATGTTTACTAATTACTACTAAATTTCATTACTAGTTAATACATTTCTAAATGTTAATTGACTACTGTAAAGTGCTTGACATGGGGCTGCCCTTGAAAAGTATCTAGAAGCCTCACTTGGTTCTAAATGCAGTGGTTCCTACAGTTTTGTGCAAATCTAGATCACACATATGTTAAACCCTCCTGAGGGCACTGTGATGCCTGCCAATTTGCTTCTGGATCCAGTTTAAGGTGCTGGTTAAAGCCCTACACGGCTTGGGTGATTTGAAGGACCTTCTTTTTCCAACTTCATCTATCCAATACACTATACTGGGGAGACAGGGTATGTTATGATTTTCCAGCATTAAGGAGATCCATCTAAGGTCCTTTTCCGTGGTCGCTTCTCCCAGTGGAATATCTTAGAGATATGGAGATAAGATTGTCTCCCATCTTCATACTCTTCCAAAAGGTACTGAAAATGGGTTTTTGTCAGTGGGCCTGGGGATCCCAAACTGATATGTATCAAGTTTGACTGAATATCAGTGAATGCCAGAAGAGTAGGAGTACAATGAATTTTGTATTTGGGGTCCTGTCTTTGTAAGTCACGGTGAGTGACTTTTATTAAATCTCTTTAATAAAAAAGATTTAATACTAGTTGCCACAGCAATAACTATTATTGAACCAAAAAACACTTTATATAAAAAAGCTGTCTGTGGAGGTATTTGCTAGTTGGTCCAGCTCACCGGACCAATGGAGATAGCGATGGTGGCGGAGATGGGATGTTTTTGTTTGTGCATGTGCTGCTTTAAAAATGTAGCTGTGCACACATCCATGTATGCTTATCCACCATTTCCGTGGCCCGTTTCTGAACAGGCTGCGGCCCCACAGAAGGCCGCAGATCAAGGGCTGGGGACCCCTGTGCTAGACTGCATTGCAAATTCAGGGGTTAAACAGATGACATGGATATTTATTTTCTTCTGCAGCTATAGATATTGAAAATAAAAGCTTTATGTTTATTTTATTTTCTAATCCTCGTGCATTCAGGGATATATCTAAAAATGTGAAACCAGAAAAATGTAGGAGTCAGATATTTTGGTAGAAAAATGTTCATTTTTTTTCCTTCATTTTTCTTCATTTCTCATGGTAAATGTTTCTACTACAATCTCATTGGCCAGGGCTGCATTGAGGACTGGGTGATTTCTTAGCCAAATGCCAAAATCTAGCTAACAGAGTTATGCAAGAACACTGAGGAAACTATCAACAAAAAGCATTTTCAATATGCATTCCTGCTAGTGAGCCACGAAGCCCAGAAGCTACCCAAGATGGCTGGTGCCAGTGTCAGGAACACTATTTGTATTTATTTTTACATTCATGGAAACCTGTGTTGAGTCCTGGTGGTATAAAGACACATAGTACAATCTTTTGACAGATTATCCCACCAGAACAGTAAATGCTAAGCTTTTCTATTTGTGACCACAACAGATATAGGGAGAATAATTACATAGGTTCTTTGTTGTCCACAGCAGCACTTTGCATCTTAATGGCTTGCAAAGAATGATCCTGTGGTAAGGTGGGCAGCTAATAAATTTTATAAATAAAAAGTAATAAAATTAAAATCTGCTCAAATTGGAAAACATGGGTGCCCAAGGATGGCAAATGATGACATATGCACATGATACTGTCATACAAATAATGTGGTTGATGTACTTGTGTTAGTGGTCATGATATGAATGACACACAAATTATACAAGCATGTCATTTGCTCAATGATATCATGGCATGTGTGTCATTTTGACCTTATGGTATGAAACTAAGACCTATTTTGAAAATAAATCAAGATGGGGTAGTATCCCAATAATAGCTGAAGAGAGTTATGATATACATTTCCAAGATCGGTGACATAAATGGGATTTAAAAATAAGATTCCGAAAACCTAATTTAAGAGAACAGTATTATTGGAATAGATGAATCATTGATCAGCTCTAGCATGATACATGTCAATGTGTAGGCTCATAATCTCCATTATTTATCATCAATGCTATTTGGATTGTAATTCAGTAACAAAATTTCACACATTTCATCTTAGCCATTTTAGTATTAAAGATAAACATTTGAACTTGAAGTTATTCCTAAACAATAGCATGCTGAAAAAAGGGGATAAAATACATTTTTTTTCAGAGTGATAGTGATGTCTTCTTGGTCACCATGGAAAGTAGAGACCCTATTGAGGGGTTTATTTCATAATTTTTATAATTTTCAGTTAGATGATGAAAAAGAGACACTGAATAAATGATGTTTCATTTGCTGAAAGATGACAGAAAATGGTAACTTCTGTTTCGAAGCAAGGAAAGTCTTCAAAGAAAATGTATCTCTGTTTTTATGATATCAGAACAAAAGTAATTTTGTGCTTGGATTCTAGATGATGACAAGTAGCTTTGCTTTTAAATATAGTTTTTATTAATTACTTTTAGACATAAATTATGAATTCATATTGTCTCAATGGCGTGCTTTTTAAAATTTTAACAGTAAAATTGATTATACTGTGATTATGTCATTAACACACCTATCTTTCTCATTAATTTTGGCTTTTATTACTGCTCACTTGATAGATGTGCCTTATATAAAAAATCTTGCAAGTTCCTATATAGCTAACACTACTGTTATTACTAGTTTTTTGATCAGTAATAATAAAATCCATTGAAAATAAAATAAAACAGAAAATACATTTTCATGAGAAATATGTTTCTTAAGTAAAGGTAGCTAACGAAATTCAGGAGATACTGAGATTCTTAACTAAACTGAGAATTTTTTTTTATTGAAAATTTTTAAAATTTTACAAAATAAGAAAAAACAACCCTCCCCAACCCACCCCAACCCTCCCACTCCCTCCCTCAACTTTCCCAGAGCTGAATATAGGCTTAATTAAATTTTCTTGAATTCTTAAAAAAAAATATAAACCATAGATAAGTCTAAATACGTTACTTAAACTACTAATAGAATAATTAACAATAATATATATATATATAAGACATAAATATTAAAGAAAAAAAAGAAAATACTTAAAAAAAGAAGAATAAAGAGAAAGAAAGAAGAAAAGAAATATAAGAAAGTAAAATAATAATAAAACATAAAGAGAAAAAAAATAATACAATCTATAAAATATTAAAATTTGTATATAAATTATTGATAAACTAAGTAATATTTTTTATATCCAACTTATGTTGTATAAAATCTATCCATTTTTCCCTAAACTGAGAATTTTAAAATACCCTTACAAGCTAAAGTTTGGTTACACAAAACCTGGAATAACACATATTAATCCCATTCTTATGAGATTCTAAGTTAACACCACATAAATGTTTGCAAACAACATTTGAAGGTATCTTGTCATATTGCTATACACTGGCATGAAAAAGTAGTATAGGCAGAAATGTACATTAAAGTCATGAAGAATCTATGTTTTCTTCAAAGTAATTCTCTTTCTTTTGAAGACTAAAGACTAGGGCCAAGAAATACAGCTTCTTTGTTTCAAGGGCTGTAGTTTTTAAAAAAATCAGTGCAAGGGTGTGGGACAGCCTGCCATTTTCAAAATATACATCTGCAACTGAAACACAGACATGTCTCTTACCAGACCTAAGGCATTAAATAAAGGCAGTATGCATTAGATTCATTTGAAACACATAATAAAAAATGCCAAGGTCTAAATTTAATTTATTTTTGTCATTTAGAATACAATGGCTAGATAATCATCTTAACGTGATCAGCCAAACATCTTTACTTTGCTAAACTGTTAAAGATTTTAATTATGCTAGCTTTGGAGAGCAGTGGTCTAATGAGGCGATAGACTCCAGAGAATCTAAGTGGTTAAGAACTGTGAAATGAGTCTGATAGGATTTTTTTTTATATTCACCGTGGATCGTTTGCATATCAAAGAGGAGTAAATTATTGCACAGCAGACCAATAATCTTCCCCGCCTTACTCAGAATGCCATTAACAAAAACATTTGGTCTATGCTACGGGCTGACTAAAAAAATAATAATGCAAAAATGTTTGCAATTAGTATATATTCTACAAGATACTTCAACACTCAGTCGTCTGAGTCTTATGATACATTTAATGTTACAAAGCTGTTTATTTCTTCTTTTAAAAAAAATAAATGCAAATATTCTTTGAAGAAGTTAGCCTCATATGAGGAATTCACTATTATTCAGTTATAACCTGTCCCCCAAAATTAAAACTCTGAAGAAATTTCAACAAAGAAAAGGGTCACAGTGTAATCTTATGTCCTGTTTAACAGCAACTGAGCTATTATTTTCAAACCCCTTGCAAAGTGACAGAGTAGAGTATATTTTTAGCTAACATGTTTGACAGGACTGTCTCCACACTAACAATTACTGTGAATATGACCGACCCTTTCACCACTGTTTACTCAGTTGAAACAATAGTGAATGGACCTGTCTGTTGATGGGATAGTAGATACTAGATTGAGTGAGTCAATCTTATATATTAGGGTTCTACCAATATGAGAAAATTATATTTACCATTATTATTCATCACTGTAAAATCTTCATGCACTTAGATTTTTTTTAAAAAAAGATGGATAATATGATAAAACTGCTTGATTTTTGTTCATTTAGAAGATGGCATAGAGTATTTCAGTATATCAAGGGCAAAAGAAGAAATAACATATTACAATCTCTACAATAAATCTTCCATAGAAGAGCAATTGACTGACATTTATGAGGGCATCTGCGCACAACACAAGTAAAACCCACATTTGTGTATAAACTTATATAGCAACAGCTGGAACAATTCACCAGCAGAGGATTATAGATTAGATTATGTATTATGCAGAATCCAATTATGATGTCATAGAATAAAATTAACTATCTCAATAATTATATGAGCTTTTAGAAGCACTTGTGGCTTATTAGTTTTGTTATCCACAATTTTAGTTACACTAAATAGAATCAATATATACATATAAAGGTGTTCATTTAC